CTTAATGCCAACTGTTGAAGATGTGTCCCTGAAGTTATGTAACAGAGAGCTCAGGCTTGAATTTAGTTAAGACTATGACTTTACACTTATAAATTTTGCCAAAATAGTTTGGCTTAATGGGAATATTTTTCAGCATTTTATAAATCTGGGTAAAAGGACTGTCTTGTTTTGTTGTGTTGGTGCTAGTGGGCTGCATCACCTGTGCATAGTACCGGGACAATGAAATATACCTCTAGTTCCTGAGGGTATCCTGTGGACCTGGGGTTAGGGTGGGACCCCTGACTACTGAAGAATGACTTAGGATTCTAATCCCGTGGAAAATCAGCACATAGTAATATATATGTTGTTTAAGCCCCGTTTTTAAAAACATTATGCATAGTGTTTAAAGCATTAGCTTAACTGAACGTAACACCATACGTTGGTGAAGTTGTATTTATTTAGCTCAATAATTAGGAGTTGCTGGCACAGGGCCCTTTGCAGGTCTCTGTGACTCATGCGCTGAGGAAATGTGATTCTAGCCATCAGCCTCTCTTTCTCATTTGCTAAATCTCATGTTTTGACTGTGGGCAAGTCTTCATGGCAGATTTAAAACAAATATTCTGTGATAATATTTGGAAGCTGGGTGATGTCTAACCTTACATAAGTGGGATTAATATAAGGTTCATGGACTTTCAGGCTATTCACTATGTGTAATTTTGGAAAACTAGTGTAGCCTTTCTTGTATTTTTTAGTATTTGACTCTTTTGTGCTTCTAGTCATGACCTCTGGACAACTATTTAGAAGGAAATCTATTGTTTTACTTACAAGTAAATTAGCACAGACTAAATGAGATTGGGATGTAAGTGTGAATGCCACTATACTCACAAATCACTTCAAGATGTTTCAGAATACTCGTTCCTAGAAACGGATCACAGTTCTTTGATCTGTCTGTCTTATTTAGTGCTCCTGACAGCTTCGACCTAAGTACTCCCACCCTCAAATGAGATATAGTCTACAGTTCACATTGTTACAGTGACGTGGGTGTCATTGAAGAGCCATCAATCCTGGGCCTGTTTGTTAACAAAGTCAATTAAAATGAAATCTAGTCTTTTCCCTTGAAATTAGGTTGTAGAGTAATGTTTCCCCTTGTTAGAACATGGAAGCCTGATTTATTAGACCCTACAAGTGATACTTGACTTAACCAGGTGTTTCTCTCCACTCTTTCTGCTTTCCTCAAATCCCATTAAGTGCGCGCGCGTGCGCACACACACACACACACACACACACACACACACACACATCCATCCAGGCAGTACCAGCATACCAGCTGTGAGGAAGCAGAACACACAGAACGGACTGTAGTTTCTACACTCATTTTGGACTTGACTTCACAGCTTTTCAGCTCGTGGTGGCAGAGTGTCTTGCATAATGGGCTACGTCCAACTTTCTGTCACTAGAAGGACTTAGTATACATTATTCCAGAATTCCTCTAGAATATGAAATATGAGCCTGGGATGGCCTTGAAATGAAAATATAAACAAAAAGCCAAATGGGTGTGTTAAAGACATACCAGATAGTGTTGTATGGTCTTCTTGATGAGTTTTCCAAGTGTGTGCCTTACATGACATCCTCTAACACACTGGACTCCACTCATAATCTTCTGTGTGGTGACACATCATGTTTCCATGGTCTCACCATGGCCTCACCATGTGGAAAAGAAGCTCCTTTGGTATGCAGGATATTTTAACCACTTCCTGAGGTCTTGATTTACCAATCTCACTATATTTTCATTTGTCACTAGCTCCAAGGCCTAGGAGTTAGGGACCAGGATCTGTGCTCCCCACCAGGTGGCAACACTAGACTCTGACTTGCCATGTGGGCTGAGTGCCACCCATTCAGTGGTCCTGCTTAGCCACCTCCACCCTCATTTATGGAGCACTCAGTGTATTTGGGATAATTTCTTATGTGTTTTAAAGCCTTACAAGGAGCTGCTGGGCCATGGATGCCATAACTCAGGCTTGACTGTTTGCACAGCAGACTCTTTCTTCAATGCTGTTTCAAATCCTTGTCTTACTGTAGATAAAGAGACTTCTTTAACTTGGAAAATCTTAAGGGGAAAACAAAAACCCAGTGATTATTGAACATTCTGACATGTCAGGCATGAAAACAAGTAACTTTTCATCTAAAGAGGTAGATAGATAAGAGTTACAGAATAGTGGAAAGCTATAATAATGCAAAATTTCAAAAAATATTTTAATTTTGCTGTTGCTTATGGAGACTTGGAAAAATTAAATCATACTAGAATAAAGATTCTCCTCAGATACAATTCCATGCTGTGTCAATTATACTATGTAACCCTACCATAAAAACAATATAAGGGCTACTGAGGGCTACTGAAGTAGCAACAGTGTTCTGGAATGCCCACATAGCCCTTTCAGTGAGACAGGAAAATTAGTGGGGGAAAAGTGACGTTATATATTGTGAGGTATTCAGGGATTCCATGAAAGCAGTAACTTATGTAGGGTCTTAATGGACACCTGGTTAGGGTTCATTTTCTATTGTTTAGGGTTGGGTTTGGAAAGAGATGTCCAAGCCTGAACACCTCCTTCCAAACACATGCATTTATGCAAGTGTATATATCTTATAATATTTATTACTGCCTCAATCTGTTTTCTATTGCTGTAACAAAATACCCGAGACTGATGAATTTATAGGAATAGATGAAGTGGCTCTTGTTTCTGGAGGCTGGAAAGTCTAATTGCATTGTTTTGGCATCTGCTGCGGGTCGTATTATGACTTAGCATCTTAGAGAATAGCATGGCTAGACCTGGCAAAAGTGCTATGTTTAGTTCAGTCTCTCTTCTTTTCCCAAAGCCACTGCTGCTGTCACGTGGGGGCCATGATGGAGTTATCTTCATGACTTCATCTAACCCTAGTCTGCTTCCAGTTTCTGTGTCCAAATGTCACTGACATAGGAAGTAAGGAAGATGCCAATGCCTTTTAGGGGACACACTCAAGTAATTGCAGTCACATCTAGCAAAACAGACATAAATGCGGGATAGCTGAAACCTCGGTAGTACTTTCTTCATCTTCAACTATAATGGATCCAACTCTATGAACTTAAATAATTATTTTCTCTTATCTGCTTAAAAATTTGAAGAATCTCTGTCACTTCTGATGTCATGATACTTGTTTTCCAAAAAACAAAACAAGGAAATGAATGTGTATTTTACACTATAGGAATTGGGCAAATGAAGATATATTTTACCGGAGTCCATGATTTTAGTGATTTGGAATTATTTTATGGTGTTTGCATCCCTTCCTGGCTGTGTGGTGTGCAGAGCACTCCAGATGGCTACTATGTAAACAACTGGGAATGTGCTTGCAAATAATCTCCTTTACAGCCCTGAGGGCTAGGCCATTACTTAATTCCTCATTCTATGTACTTTTTCTGAATTGAATGTCAGCAAATACAATCTTAAATATGTGTTGCTTAAGCCGGGCATGCATCTCATACCTGTAATCTCAGCACTTGGGGCTGACACAGTCGAATTGGCAAGAGTTCAAGGTTAGCCTGGTCTATACAGTGAGTTCAAGGTCAGACTGGGCTTCCCAGTGAGACCCTGGCTCAGAAGAATGAAAACCAAAGTAAACTAGAGTAAAGTAAAACAAAAACAAATGATTTTACTTAAGTAGCCAATGGACAAATAAATTACTTAGATTGTCCTGAAAGTTTAGCACACATCATGGTATCTGTGTGGTTACAATGGAGAGAGATGTTTTGAAGGATTAGTTGCATACATTTGCCTGTATTTCTGACAATGAGATTCAGGCATTTCTTTTCCTCGTGTGTGTGTGTGTGTGTGTGTGTGTGTGTGTGTGTGTGTGTGTGTGTGTGTGTGTGTCTTGGTATGTGTGTACACCTTTATGAAAAGTCAGGTGACCACAGAAACAGCTGACTTGAACAAGGGAGAGCTCTTGGTCCCCAGACTAATAGCTGGGAAACCAGCATGGGACTGCTCCAGTGGGTGTCAGGGGCCCCTTGTAGTAGATTAGTACTTATCCATAGCATAGGAATGGACTTTGGGAGCCTATTTCACATATAGGGATACTCCCTAAGCCTAGACACTCGGGATGGGCCTAGGCCCTATCCCAAACGATATGACAGACTCAGAAGACCCCCTGTGGAAGGCCTCACCCTCCCTGGGGAGCAGAAAGGGTATGGGATAGGTAGTGTGTTACTTGGGGGGGCCAGGGGAGGAGGGGAGGGAGAGGGAATTGGAATTGACATGTAAAACAATATTGTTTCTAATACAAATTAAAAAATGGGGAAAAAAAGAAAAAAGAAAAAAGAAAGAAAAGTCTGGTGATGAGCAAGGCTGTGCTGTTTCGATGGGCTTTAAAGGAGTGTAGTTGTATAAGTAATTTGCATATTAACCAGTTGATTGGGCACCAGTACAGCTGCTTGATTGATCAGGATATCTTATTTCCAATTGCTTTACAATATGTTCCACTTGAAGTTTGTGGAAGAAATAACTAAAGGCTCTTGGTTAATGTCTTTAATTTAGCAAAAGCATTAGAATTCCAAACTGGATCACCTCTCTAGGGCACATGCAATTACACAGAAAGCCCCATTTGTAGTATTCCATTCAACATCCTTGAGCTCTCATCCATGATTTGTAGAATGAAGCTTTATGCATATAATCATCTAATTCTATCTTATTTAATTTATAGTCATGGCTTCTGAGGTGAGGAAAAGCTATGCATATAATCATAAATTGCTGAAATCTGAAATAGGGACTTTAATTCAGACAGAAAGATGCGTTACTCTTTTTTTCATTGTCACTTGATAACAAACCCAGTGTTGTTTCATAAAGCCTGACATAGATCTTATAAAATACAAAGTGAAATTTTTTCTCTCCTTGCTGTTCCTAGCCTCAGAGGGTAACACTGTGTGTGTATACTGTGTATAGTTCAAGTATGACTAGGTTGTGGATTTTTTTTTTTTTTTTCTGTGCTAGTGCAAACATGTAATAGATGACTTCCTGGAAAAAGCCAAGCTCACATTCTTGAGTCAGGAGCAGTGCTGTTTGACAACAATCAAGTTTGCTGTTGTAGGTATACCAAACGGAGTGAGGTTAGTTTCACTGCCAGGTGACTTTGAGGGAGGTTGGCTTTCCAAATCACTGGTTATAACACCGGTAAAATCAAAGGTACTTAGAGACATGGTTGTCTTCCATTTCCTGTACCCATGCTGTGTCTGCAGCTAAGTTGATCACAAAGAATGCAGTTTTCAAGGAAGATAGGGAAACAGCCGGAGTCCTCTAAAGAAAACATCCCAAACTGGGTCTCTAAACCTCTTAAAAATTTCCTGCAGACAGTGGAGGACTGTCCACCCTGTTTGTTGTCCTGGTTTGTTGTTATCAGTGAATCTCTTCAATGGCTGTGTAAGCTTCTGTGGTGAAATTCCTGGGTTGTTCGTGGAGATTCCTGTTGCTGGGAAGTGTAACTCTGGATTGGCATTTGATACTGCAAGTCATTGTGGCTAATTCGATCACGGGGAGATCTGTAGCTGTCCAGCTGGCTTTCTCTGAAGTTTACTTACCTGGTTTGCATGCTTTTCTGTCTCCATTACACTTAAACTGATGATAATAGTTTCCATGATGGATACAGATTAAATATGGTATCATGGTATTTTCATATGAAATATTTGTTCAAATGATAATTTAGAAACACTGTGACATGTAAGAATATTTAGAATTCAGCTGATCCTATGGGAAGCAAGACTGTGAATATTTTAATTCAAATCCAAGGGTTTTATTTCAGATAATGACGATTAGTAAAGTTAATGATATTTTCTTCATAGTAGTTTTGTTACGTCTTCTATCATTTACCTTTAAAGTTTTATTTAAATTCGATTAAAAAAAAACTTGTATAACAGTTTTGCCTAAGAATAATTTTGTATACTATTTGTTCTACTGAAATTTAGATTTTGTTTTTGAACTAGATGTCTGCCCTTATGGAGTTTATGGTCTATCCCAGACAAAGAAGCTGGCTACTGCCATGGGCCATGCTTGGGAGCTCAGGGCAGAAGTCAGTCTGTCACATGTGTGTGCAATTGAGAAATTATAGTCAAAGGAGGAGTCTCAAAGGTAACACCTGACAGGTCAGCACATTCCAGTCATGCAGTGAACTTGGGCTGTAAGTAGTCACGGGCCAGCAGCATCTTCAGAGGCCTGGTTAAGAGAGTAATGAGGACAGTCAAGTACCTTGGTAGACAGGTGCACAGCGGAATCCCAGACATGAACTCATGAAAGCAATACACAAGCCATTTTGTAAATTTAAGCAAAAATAAAGGAAACATGAGAAATCATGCATCATCACTAATGGCAAGTAGTAGGGTTCAGTGCTATGAGAATTTGCTGTATTGCCTTGCTTTCCATTTGCACTCATTGGAGTATGATTGATATGATCCTACTTTGGTGCTGGTGATAGATATGTGTGGCTGTAGCAAGCAGCACATGTGTATGCAAAAGCATTTCAAGGAAAGTTTGGATTATGCCAACATGCTACGCATACCTGCTTTTAAGTAACAATATACTTAGACATTTTGATCTCCACAGCTGTAATTGTGTTTTAGATGGTCGATTTATTTTGAGTGGAAATGTTTTATCTCTGTGAATGGAAACATGTTAAAGTCACCCATTTTTGATCTTTCTCTGTAGGAAGAATGTTTCTTGAACTTAGAGGCTCCAATATCAAGAGTGTGTGGATATGACACCCCGTTTCCTCACATTTTTGAGCCGTTTTATATCCCAGACAAATGGAAGTGCTACGATGCCCTACGGAAGATGATCAACTATTGACCACAGAGGTAGGTGTTACCCACTTGTAGATGTGTGCAAATGGTCTTTATTTTCGTCCTGTTACCTAGGATCAGCTCCCACCCGTGTCTTGTATTCTGATAAACAGTAACATTCAGAATAAGTATTTACTTCATAAAAATGCTCAAGTTTCTGCTAGCATATTTATACCCAATAGAAATGTGTCGATAGTATTAAGATTTATAGACGGTACCCAGTGTGCTGGTATTAAATAATCAAATACACTCTCTTCTACTCTTGTCCCAGCTTTCCCCTTCATATTGTATGGTTCCAGCTTTTTAAAATTGCCCGTGTAGAAGCATAATTTCGGTTGCTTGAAAGGGACCTCTCACAGATCCCTGACTCAGGCGCTAGTTGTTTGGAATATTTTAAATGACATTCAGACATTTATATTTATGTTATCCAGAAAACATTCTTTTAAGAGAAAACCTATTTGGTATAGACAGATTTCTACTAAGGAATAAACAAAACAAAAGACCAAAACCCCAGCATTGCTGCTATTTCCAGGACCTTTTATGACAAGTGAATGTTTTAATTGGTAGGAGGGAGGGCTCCTTTGTTTGGTTTTGAAATGAGATTTAATTCTAGCTCAGGCTGGCCTTAAGTCTACTATCATCCTGCCTCTGCCTCCCAAGTGCTGGATTCACAGGCATGTGCCACCACACCCAGCTTGTGAATGTCTTATAAATATTGGATGAGAGATTGTTTATTCATAGTGTTTTCTAAGTTGAACTTATCAAGCCTGTCAGCAGTGCTGTTCTAGGGGGAAAAAAAAGGATATTGTTAAGAATTATTTGGTTTTCAATATAGAAGTTGCCAACACTGACACCCTGCTTTTAGTGTGTTCCAAAATGAGGATATGAGATTAGAGGCTTTATATTTTAATATCTTAGTTTTCCAGAAAGTAATAATAATGCATTTAGAGGAACCAAGATTTTTAGAAGATAAAAGGAAAATAAATCCAGCATGGTGGCAACGCCTTTTCCTGTTACAATACAGAATGATGCAGTTCTTAAATTCCATTAGTCGGTTGCAGAGCTAGCTTACAGAAGACCAGAGAAAGCACTTATGTAAATAATGTCCCCCCCCCTTTTGTCACTATATCCCCACAATCCCCACAGTTTCATGACTGTGTTTTGAGACTATTGTTACAGGTGTCATTTAAGGGTTGTTGGCCACACAGTCCTGCAGGTCCAAAGACTGTATTTCTGATGCCTCTTACTGCCTGTGAAAGTAGTGGGTTCCTGTGGTCAGTGTCCCTTAGGCTCTTTGGAGATCTTCCTCCTCTCTGGAGGAGTCTCTCTGGTGCTGGAGGGTCAAGGAACTGTGGCAAGATGGCTTACTTCTAGTTTTAAAATACATGAAAATAATTTTTGTTGGCTTTAAATTTGGTTGTGCATTTTATTCTAAATGTAAGCAAAGTAGGTTAGCCTATACCAACAATGTGATAAAAGAATAAAATAGCTTTTCTGTGTAGAAAGTTAAATATGCTATTAAAGAAATTAAGTGTACTTGGAACTAAGAATGCTTATTATTGTTACTGGTTTCTTTTACAGAAAATCTGGAAGATTATGACTAGATATGGAAATATTTTTCTGAATTTTTTTTTATATTTCCTTAGACTTCTTTCTTCTTACATATCATTTTATGAAATGAACTATCATGGATATTGGCTGATGAGCTGCGAATTACTTATTGTGTTAATATAAGTGGATTGGGGGTTGAGTAACAGTTTAAAGTGCACCGTGGGTGGTGGCCTTATGATTGTTTCATAACTATAAGTATTGGGTGGTGTTGTATTCAATAAAGCAAACTCACATCGCCTTCACATTGTGTGTGTCTTCTTCAGTTGGTAAAAAAAGATTCTCACTGCAGAATAATGGGTTGTTAACTTGCTAACTGAATTTGAGTTCTAGTAAAATATTTATTCTAGAAATGCTGACTTTTCCACTTTATTGTATTTGGTTTAATTCTTTATGGTTAAGATGGTTTGGGGGTTGGCAAACTTTTGGAATCTTTCTTCTCCATCCCTGCCTCTTGGTTCAGCAAGTTTATGAGTGGTCCTGGTTCCTCTAGACTACTGGGTTTGGATCATCCCTGTTACTATCCTTTCTTCCTCGGGGAGGTGGGTAATGTGATCCTGTTTACTATAAAATTGTTAAGCTCTAGCTGCAATTGTAGGTGTTTTTTCCCCCCTAAGACTTTGCAAAACAGACTGTATTTCTGTTTCTATTTCTGTGTAGATAAAAGAAAAATATTAGCAAACAGTGATGGCTTCTTCCAAGTGGAGCCTTTCCTGGGGTTACTGGAAGGGCTTCATTTTGCCTTCTCTGCCCCTCATCATAGTTCTAGAAGATCTGAAAACAGCCTTAGGAATTTCCCACAGAGCCATCGCCCAGGCCTACTCTTGGAAATTGAGCAGTTTGACTCTCTCCCCTCCTATGGTCCCAAATGACTTCCTCTTTTAGGTTCTGGCAGAAAGGTCCATGCAAAAGTGGTGAACTGTATTCTTCTGTTTCACTTTGTCCATAAACACTTAGAAAAATGGACATTTCCTTATAATTACATATACATATTTTTCTTTAGAACTGTAATTGTAAAGGCTTCACCCTAGTTATTTTTGCCAATAACTGGAGAAGGCTACAGAAGGTAACTGGTAGAGTGTCCCTAACTTGGAGGCAGAGTGAAGGCCCTTTACCACAGGTTCTGTGCAGTGGGCTGGCAGTTTGTTATGGGTGAAAACAGAGCCCTGTCTTTGGGTCAAAAATAGAAAGCTCTGTGCAGATAAGATGGGAAAAGATGCAGGTTGTTGGCCACAGTTTGGAAAAGAGCAAGTCCAGTTGGCTTGCTGAACAGGACATTCTGGGTTTAAGACGCCAGAACTCTGTCTAGACCTTGGCTTTGCTCTTTATTCTCCTGCAGGCTCAAGAGAAGGCCTCATCTACTGGCCTGGTCCAGCAGAACAAGATACGTGCCACAATCAACCACATGTTGCCCAAGGACATCCTATGAGAACACAATGTCTCTAGTTGAACTTGTCTTCAGTTGATGTTACTTAGGATTATATGAATTTCTTTAATAGTCATGTTGCTACTGTGTCTATTAATACTAATTTTTTACTCATTGGTATCTTGATAATTTTCCCTTAGCTACTTAAGAGTTAATTGCTTTAATTTTATTTTACAAATGGAAAGTACAGGATGAGTCTGGGGACAATTTGTGCACCAAGTGTGGCATCTGAGAACACCATCTCTAATTGGCCCTGCAGGCCCTAGCAGTAAATAACCCCTTTCCAAGACGGTTTACAGATAATATCCAATATGAAGCTCAAAACAAACACATCTGTGTAATTGCAAATTCTTTTTTCATCAAACAAATGTATGTTGTACTCATATGGAAAATAGTGTCAAAATAGCACATGGGGTATTAGGTAAATGCCAATCTAATCTTCGGCATAAGTCTGTTCCCTGTAACAGCATGGATATATATGCTAATTTAACTCCCCATAGTTCCAATTGCTCTAGTCTCTTTGAAATATAATATCCTATTGCTGAAGACACCATGCATTTCAGACAGTCGGACCAGAGGTATCTCAGATAGTACTGACATGAAAGCCTCTTTCCTGAGGACTAGTTTGAATGGAACTTGAAGGTACCATGTAAGCTTCCAAAGAAGAAAAGCAACCAACAGTCTTATTCTATGATCCACAACAACCATAGTTCCAATTGCTCTAGTCTCTTTGAAATATAATATCCTATTGCTGAAGACACCGTGTATTTCAGACAGTGGGCCCAGAGGCCTCTCAGCTAGAACTGACATGAAAGCCTCTTTCCTGAGGACTAGTTTGTATGGCTCTTTGAAATATAATATCCTATTGCTGAAGACACCGTGTATTTCAGACAGTGGGCCCAGAGGCCTCTCAGCTAGAACTGACATGAAAGCCTCTTTCCTGAGGACTAGTTTGAATGGAACTTGAAGGTACCATGTAAGCTTCCAAAGAAGAAAAGCAACCAACAGTTTTATTCTATGATCCACAACAACCATCATGGGACAATAACCCCAAGGGTGTAGTAGTGGCACACATACCTTGACAGTAACCAGTAGCTCTCCAATTAGACTTAAGAACTGCTCAACAAGAGGGAAATCACGCTGGGTACTAGAAACCTAGCCAGCTACCCATGGCTAGTGAAGTCATGATCTTGGAGAACCTACAGCTGCCACTTTACTAAACATACTTCAGAACTACATTCTCAATATTCTAAATATTCGTTCAATTACCCAGAGATAAGCATAGTCATTACCCCTCATCAAAGAAACTTCTCTTTGTAACAGATGAAGATTAGTGTAAGATAATACTACATGCAATCAACATGTAGAGTTGTGGATATGGAGCCCAGTTCCAACTGACAAATGTGTGCATGCATGTGTATGAAAGCGTAATACACACACACACACACACACACACACACACACACACACACACACACACACGAGAGGCCATGATTTTGAAAGAGAGTAAGGAGGGGTATATGAGAGAGTTTAGAGGAAGGCAAGGGAAGGGAGAAATGATGTAATTATAATCTCAAAAAATTAGAAATTATAAGTGCTTTACAAAACTGATAGATAACCTATGTGAACAGATCTGTGTACATTAGGCCAGGAACCTAGGGGAAAACCAAATACCACTGTTTGACTAAAGTAACCTAGCAATAAAATGACTCCTAATGGCATTCTGCTATATTCATAGATCAGTGTCTTGCCCAGTCTTCATCAGAGATGCTTCCTCCAGCAGCAGATGGGAACAAATACAGAGATTCACAGCAGACAGCGAGAGACATCAGAACTCTCAGTCCTAAACAGGATGTTTCCGTCAAATCCCTCTCCTCAGGGCTCAGGGAACCCTGTGGAAGAGATGGCTGAAAGAATGTAAGATGGAGCATGGATGAAGGGCACCAGGGAAACAAGGCCTTCTCTATACAGCAGGATTGATGCACATATGAACTCTCAGAGACTGTGGCAGCATGCACAGAGTCAGCATGGGTCTGTTCCAGATGGGGTCCTTGAGCCAAAAGAAGTGGACACAAGCCCCCAGCCCTAACCCAGAAGTTATCTCCAATTGACAACTACTTGCAAATGAGACAATTAGTATTCTATAAGGGAGTTGCAGCAGGGAAACAAACTACTCTTAAGGGTAGGCCCCTCGCCCAGCGGTAGATGCCAACAGAAAACTAACTCAACCCCTTTGGAGGTTCTTTGCCTTATATTGTTGTGTCAGGATTTTTTTCCTTTTATAATCCTTACAGATTCTTCACATATATATTATGGCTTCCAGTTTTGTGTTTCTATGGGATTCCTGTATATATGAACATTTGTGTGTCTGTGTCTGTGTGTTTCTTATGCTTGTTCTTTGGCCCTTTTCCTTCTGTTTTGTTCTATTCTAATTGGGTTTTGTTTTGTTTTATCTTATATTTTATTATTGTCACTTAGATGTCAATTTTCTAATGAGATCCCTAAAGGGAGTATATCTGGGGAATTGGGGAGGAACTGGAAGGAACTGCAGGAGGGGACACCATAATTAGAATATATTGTGTGAAAAAAAAACATTTTCAATGAAATAAAAACAATCACAAATATAATTGAAACCAATATATGTATTTTCCACATCATTGCATACTTTATGCTTTATTAATTTCCCATAAATTTATAGTGGGTATGGCCAGTGTTGGGTAGCAGTTTCTTTGGGAATAAAACTGTTCATGTTGGAGGGAAGCTTGTTAAGACAAAGGCTATTCCATGTAGAGGTTAAACAGTCCATCCTGCAGGAAAGTATATTACACTCAGGACATACATAATCCAAAGGCTTCAGGAGTCCCTGAAACTGACCAGATTCATTGGCTCCTCTCTCCCCAAGCATATATAAATAGTAAGGACTATTGAGAAATACTCTCAGACTATCCAAGTTACCTAGAAGAAACTCAAGCCTGGAAAGAGGCTCAAGCCACCTGAAATACTTAGAAAAGTCACTCTCTAAGACATCTGCAGTTTGCACAGTGTGCTCTAGGTTTCTAGCTTTTATGAACTGTCACCCAAGCTAGGGTGGCTGGTGATGCAGCTATTTCTGTGTTATTTCTGTTTCTGTACATAACCCCTCACCCATACTCTGTAAGTAACCCAGTAAAACAAATTTGTTCACTAAACTAGACATTAGCAGTATCGTTACTTTGGTCTGTTGGTTCCCTCTCTGCGGTGAGTAGATATTTCTTCTTGTTGTCCCAGGACTTGAGCTACACAACTATCAGGCACTGGGTTACAGTTTAAAATGCAAAGTTAACAGAGCAACAGCCTCTAGAAGAAAACACAACCAGGATAAAAATCAAGAAAAACAAAGCACATGGAGAAAAAAGGGATGGGGGATGGGGGGGTAAAGAAAGGACAAAGAAAATAATCAGACCACGGATGGAATAGGATAGACCTGGTTAATCAGGAAGAATTTAGGTTGGGTTAAGAACCAAAACCCACCTAAACACTGCTTATCTTGTAAAGTCTTCAAGAAAGTTGATGTAGAAAGGCTAGAATGTTGAATGCTGGGGTGATGTCCCTGCTGGTGATGTGCTTGCCAGCAAGCATGAAGGTCTGAGTTTGATCCTTGTACCCATGTAAAAGTATGGGTGTGTGCTGGTGTGAACCTTAAAAACCAGCACTGAGGAGACAGACAGAGGAGGCTGCCTGACCAACCAACCTAACTGAATCTCAGAGAGCTCCAGCTTCAGTGAGACACTGTCTCAAAACATGAGGGAGAGAGGAGAGGGAAGCTACCCCATGTTGACCTCACCCCCACATGCTTGAGCACACAGGAATGGGTACACACACACACACACACACACACACACACACACACACACACACACACACACACACACACACATTTAAGCATGGAAAACATAAAATACTAGTAAGGTGAAATATTTCAACAAAATTCATAATAATCAAGATAGTAGAGAAAGGAAAATATATTTTTATTATTGACATAAGGAACACACCAGTTAAGTCCTTTATATTCTAAAAGGGTAACATTAATAAAGTAAGACAGACATAAATCCTCAAGATATGGACAGAAGAAAACTTTGACCACCAGTTACAGTTAGATAAGTAAAAGGGTGGGGGGTGACTGTATATTTAAGATTGTGTGTCTTCACATAGACTGCAGAGCCTTTGGAGTGGGTGTGGCAATTAAAGCATTTAATCACATCCCACGACAAATAACAGTACAGTACCCTTCCCAAAGGAAAACATGTGAAAAAGCACCACATTTTCTCACTACATCCCTAATTAATAGCAAAGGTTCCAGCTTCTTGGAAATAGTACTGCATCCAGCTTAGTGGAAAGGAAAGCAGTTACCAGATCTTTAGAGTGTAAGCTCACAGATGGGTCACTGAGGTTTGGGGGCAGTAAATTCATAGGCTTGAAATTTTTCACATAGAAAACAGGTTATAAGACTGCAAAAATAAAGAGTAAGAAAGAACAAAGAGAAAGAAAACTAAAAGTAGGAAACTCCAATGAGGAACATAAAGTCAATTTTCCCCATAACTTTTTTCATATTCTTTTTTACCCTATGATCGTCAAGTTATTTTAGTATAATCATGGTATGTGCATCTATGGACTCCATAATGGCTATGGATACTTACACTGCTTGGGTTCTTTCTTTAGCAGTCAGGGAATACTTTTACAAAATTGAATAGTTTTGGCTCCTAGCATTGCCAGACAAGTTTGTATCCATATCTTACTGCTTAAATTAAATGACTTACCAGGGCCTTGGTTTGCTGAAAATCTTTTAATTCCTTAATGGAGGTCTTCTTGTTCTAATAGCTCTCATCAGAGTCAGTGACTATACTACAAAGAAAATAATTATTTCAGGACTGTTTTCTTGGGGTTGGGGCAGGGGACAGCTCACTTTATATCATGCTTTCTGTGTAAGCAAGGGGATTCGAAATCTTTGTAAAACTGAAGTCTGGCATGGTGGCATAGGGTGGAATTTCACTGTGGAGGAGATGGGTTGCCCAGGTTCATCTGCCTGCCAAACTAGCCTACTGAACTTGTGTCAAACTCCTGAGGAATAAAATCCAAGTTTGACCTCTGACCTACACACACACACTAAATATACAACACACACACACACACACACACACACACACACACACACACTTACTTTTTCTTACTGTTGAATTTGTCCTTTTCCTCCAGACCCAGGAGTTTTATGGGTTCCAGAAGGGCAGTTTGACCTTGCTGCTGGTGGTTCCACAGAGCCTAGAATAGCCTAGAACGATGCCAGGTTGTGTTCCTGGCTGAATAGGAGTCGAAATGCAAGCCTGCTCCCAAGTAGCACTTCATTTGCTGTACTTAATGTCCCAGTTCAAGATCATGTTTTAACATCGTTTCTTTTGCCATTGATTCCATCAGAATAATGAGGCTCTTGGTTTCTCATTTTGGAAGGCTGAGACCCTAAGAGCTTAGGATTTTAAAGCTTTGAAATAGGAGATATCTTAGGGCAGAGAACACAAGTTGAAACACAGTGTTCATTTATATTTCATGTGTACCTCATATGCAAAGCCTAAAGGTAATTTGCATGATATTTTTTGGTGGTCTAGGCAATAAACAACTGTGTCCACATAGCTCTCAAAAAGCAAAGGCACCAGGACCCAGAACAGCCCATGCACATGTGGCCTCACCGTCTTTGCTGACTCTAAATTTATAAATGCTTTGAGCCATAACTTATTATTGGAACAGAAACGATAGAGATCCGATGTGACATTAATACCGTGAACAGCACGTGTTTAGGTTATCTCAACAGTGTGGCACCAGATTCCATCTGCTGCGGAGCCATAGTCTCCTTCAGCCCCTCAGAGATGCTGCCTTGGAAATCGCCAGGAGATGGGCACTGTGTCTCTATGTTTCAGGTCTGTTTTGTCAGATAGATTTAGAAATGTATTTGTTAAAGGGCTCTGAGACAACAGTGTGTGTTAAAAGTGCGTACATATGTGGACAAAATAGAATATAGTGCTCATTCAAAACTGTTCTGGTAAGAGGCTTGTGGTGGCTGGAATAAGATGTCCCCCATTATTTTAGGCCTTTGAGCACTTGGTTCCCAGTTGGTAATGCTGTGTGTGGAGGCCAAGGAGGTGTGGCTTTGTTGGAGAAAGACTTGAGAGTTTAAAGACAAGCCATTTCTAGTTTGCACTCTCTGCTTCCTGCTTGTGGTTGGAGGTGTGAGCTCTCAGCTTCCTGCTTCTGCCACCATGCCTTCATTTCCTGACCCTGGAACCATAAGCCAAATAAACCCCTTCTTCCATAAGTTGCCTTGGGGTGAAACCTGTACTGTTGTGAAGGAGAGGGACAGGGTAAGGGGACAGCTGTCACACTCCAGGCTGGCTTCTTTCTGCTAGGGTCACCCTCCCGAGTTCCATGCTTACATTTTCTGAGTGTTCACTTCAAGGTCTTTGTAATAAGTCGTCATTACCTTCATTCAAGTTGGGCTTCTGCAGCTTGCAACCAAGAGCATCCTGATTCAACCATCCCAGTAATTCAGCACACATTGAAACCGAAGAGTGAAGCCCACGTGTTTTCAATAATGTACATTTGAGGAAATCCTTCACTGTTGGGATTAGTTTGGTCTTGTGCTTAAATTTTCTTTTTGTATCTGTGACACACAAATTAGCTGCAGATACTGTGTTAATGCTGAAAGTCTTAGCCATAAAATAAGTGAACTCAGAGTGAGCTTGAATACTGCATACTGTCATCTCCACCCCGCCCCCAAGTGTAGCTCCACAGCAGCTGTCCTCTGGAGACCTTGTTGATTGGTGACTTGTTACCATGATGTTCCTCACCGAAGTCATGAGCTCTTAGCACTGTCACTAACCTTAACCAGAGAATTCAAACACAGACCTAGGAAATTTTGTTTTACAAAGAATGTTGATGTTGCCAGTTTAGCATGACATTTTTAATAAACTTTGTGTAAGCCCCGATTCACCCTCCTTTGTCTGAACGGAGTGTTTATTCTCACCGCAGTTTCTTTATTTTTTTACATGAAGATTTTAAAAAGTTAGAGAACAATGAAGTTTCTGTGTTCCTAGCACCTAGTCTAAAACTTATACAGTACGATTTATCTTCCCAGCCCTCCTTTACCCAGTAAGAAGTTAAGACCCGATTGCTAGAAATAAGTAGTACTTAAAAAAATTCTGTCCTGACAGCTAGCTAGCTTCACGAGTTTGTCCCCAGTGAGATCTGTCCCCAAAGCTGGCTAATTCCTCAAGGGTTTTTCCACAGTTATTTGGGGGAATTTCAAACCCTGGCGCCTGAGAACACGCACAGAGTTCATACTTCCCTCTGGTTCCGACAGCCTGCAGAAATATACAGTTTGAAGCTGCAGGGGCAGATACCTCATGTCACTCCTGCCACAAGGACCACTGTAGCTGTGCCTGAAGCAGCCCTCCAAACTGCTTACAGGATGAGCTTGATTGACACTAGTTCTCAGTGGGTTTTCGGATCTCTCCAGAACAGAAGAATCAATTATTTTCCCGTGGAGACAGTTGGCTCTCAAACAGTGAGCTACTGTTACCCCTAAATCTCACCTCTATTGACTCATAGAGTTG